GCTGGATGTAGCGGAATACCAGAGTTGATGCTCACTCCGGGACTCGAATCCAGTACCGCTTGCTTCAAATGCCTTCACGTTATCCACTTAGCTACCGAGTCCTGATAGCCACTTATTTGTGCAATGGAGTGAAGTTTTGAATTCACCTAATTTTGTTTTACTTATATCTTCTCACTGTTATTTAAGACTGTAATTGATCAGTCCCTTGTTGGCAAATGTGCATCCTGCGAGTAAACAACACCAAGTGAATTTAAAACTTCACTCCATTGCACAAGCAGGTAGCCATCAATACTCAGTTCCTAAGTGAATAACGAGATCGCGTTTGAAGCAAACGGTACTGTGTTCGAGTCTTGGGGTGAACATCAACTTTAGTATTCAGCCAAATCCAGCTGACGAGTCGCAAATAAAACTAAACGCGCGTCCTGGATCCCACTGCTAGCCATTATCTATTTTTGCTTAAAAAGCTTGTGACATGAGGCTATATCGAGGCAATCTGCACAGTATGCACATATGCCAACAAGAGAATAATCAATTGCAGTCCTAAATAACAACGGGAAGATACAAGTAAAACAACACCCAGTGAATTATAGTCCAACTGTTTTAAACAACAACAAAAATGAAAACACTACTATTAAAAAAAGGATGCCTTTATAGGATGTGATAATATTTAAGACAGACTGTATTTAGTTGAAATGAAGATTAATGATGCGTGAGTGAATCAAGAATACATTCAATTATTAATATCTATATTAGTTACAATATGCCTAACTTTATATCGTTTCAGTGAAAAATAAAATTCATACTAAAAATACAAACATCACCGAATGATAGAGAAAGGTAGAAATTGTCGAAAAAAATCTTACACTGTAATGTAAGTAGAAATGCGTGTTTATGTTTTAAACGAGTGTGTAACATAAACACTATATATCGTAATCCTACATAAATTAATGTAACACAACATTGGAAAAATGAAATCAAATGAAAGATTGAAGTAAAAGATACAGTATTTAGTGATTGATTCTTATGATCAATCAATAAAATAAAAATACTTTCTTGCAATAGATGAATTATAACCAGAAATAGGATATGGAATGTACATTTCATCGGATACACACTATAATACACTAAGTATGTTTGCTAATTAAAAAATAGCATAAATGTGATCATCTTTGTATGATGAATAATTTAAGTTGAATGTGTTTAGAATAACTTCAACCCTGAAAAAAAAATCATATTCAATAAATAAGTATTTATAATTGAAATCTGTATTTTAACTTTACTACACCTTTCTTTCATTTATTATAAATGATCAAATCATATGTTATCTTTTGTTACATAAATTACTTCATCATATATATTGTCATGTGTTCAAGAAAAAAACTTAACAATTTCCACAACCCCCATACTGATAATTAACATGTGCTCACTAGTGACTAGCTTCGTGAGGGAATTCTCGGAGTTCTAGTGAGAAGTCGTGACCAGTGGAGCTAATCCGTATCGGGTAGAGACAGGTATCTACCTCAGTACAATGGAAGTTAGTCGCGCAATTTCGTGGATTGGTTGATGTTAGACACTAACACCATTGGATGCCGGCTCAGTGGGTAAGTGCTCAGGCGCGAAGCCAGTAGGTCCTGGGTTCGAATCCCGCTCGCGGGATCGTGGATGCGCACTGCTGAGGAGTCCCATACTAGGACGAAACGGCCGTCCAGTGCTTCCAGGTTTCCAACGGTGGTCTAACATCAATTGATTCATTATCTCAACCAAAAAAATTAGAGGTATTTGTAATGATTTAGTATGTTACATAAACAATTTACTAAAACATACCGAAAATCTGAAATCTTGATATGTACCATAATTAAAGCAATTTTCACCATGATTAATATCAATTTCTTTCTGTTTCTTTATAAAATAAAATTTGATGATGTTTGAAACGTAAGATTTTAAAAATACTGTCACATCGCTTCAGTTTGTAAAACCATGATGAATAGTAATGCCAATAATATCAAGAGTTCATATAGGAAATTTTATCAGTAAACTGAAAGTTCGAAGAATGTGGTAGTGGTTTCATGGTTAAAATACTCGGATTTTAACCACAACATCATAGATTCATAATTCATTCCGTCTACTTCATCAAACCTTATATAAAAAGTTGTGCCTAAAATTCTTGTATATAAGCATGGGGATGGTAAATGAGAAATATTGGTTTGATCAATAATTTATCTTCATCTTTTAAGAAGATCGTATTTAAAATTCTCAGCTAAATTATTGTCGTCAAAAATAAGGTGGATGAATGTGATTGGTCATGTTAGAATTCCGACCAAGAAAAGTCTAATATCTTCGCTGTGTGATATAACTCAATATTTCAATGCAATATATATATATCATTCTAGATCACTGAATTCTTTCGGTTATCCAATCTGGAAACATATATATATATATGAATCATGGTTTTAATGAAGCATACTACGCTAGGGAAGATTTTAATCATAAAATAACATCGTTTAAATAGTTATTTTAAACCAGAAAAAATAGTTTAACGTTTATCAAGATTCTATTCTAAGGAAATACATTGCCATCAACGCAGTAAAGATCCAACAGTTTTCCACCCACCGTGTTCCCGAAAAATAGCTTATGTATCAGAAATCTACAATGCATATATTTTTATACTAGTGAGATTGTTTAAATAGTCATATTAATGAAATCGGTGTTTAGATAAATCAACATATCAAGTACAACATGACTGAACCCATGACTGTAAGTGCAGAAAGTGATTTACTTTTCATCATAACTCAACAGAAGAAGAAACTTAGATTCATCTGTACACTTAACAAAACGTGTTCTGTTATCTTCAACGCTAATGCTTCATAATAAGTAGTAATAAAAGTATCTGCACTTCTAGGTTGTTTTGTTCACTGAATTCTTTTTAGACTAATTAGTATTTGTCCGCTATCTACGATTTATTTATTCATCTAAACCGAAGTATAGAGAATGAATAAGTTTAATTAATTAAAAGTAACTTATGTTGAGATGGTGAACTAATTACATATATTCACATACATACACCCAAAATTGTTATCACACTCTTAATGAGATTGGATCGAAATTCAACTGAATGATTGATTAATTGATTGATCGATTGATTGATTATTTGAATGTCCCTTTATATATATACTATAATTATGAAGATGAAGATCAATGACTAGTCATCACATCAGTAATCAATTCAATAATATTGATATTACTAAACCACATCTATTTTATTTTGACAAGAATTTAAAATAATATACAAGACCGATTGAAGTTAGACATGTAAATTATTGAATGCCAACTTAACTATCTAAAAGTCAAGAGTTTACTGCAGGTTTACCAGGTTTGTTCGCCAACTAGATTAGGAATGTGCACTATTGAAGTATCATACTGGGACGAAACAGTTGTTCAATGGTTTCTAGTTTTCAGTGGTTGTCAAATTAAGATCAATGTGTAATGTAAACTTTGAAAAGAAGAATAATTACAACTGCATTTTTTTTCTAATAAAGACGACTGAATTATATTGTTATTTATGATTTAATATCTATAGACTTACAATTCGGTAATATGAGCTTGACAATTAAGAAAATGACTTTAAAATGCGAATTCTTATATAAATAGTGAAGATAATGATGGTATATTTTTAAAAAATTATTTTAACTGCGTTATGGTATATACGGGTTGTAACAATATGCATCATATTGTCAATTCTATTTTGAAAACTATACACTATAATTTTACTTAAAGTTTCATCAAACTCAATAATACTATGTGATGAAAAGATTTATACGTATAGATCACTATATTATTAATAAACTAAGGCACATATTTACAAGTGTTTTATTAATAACTCAAGTTATACTTAACACTCATTGATATATTTCACTCCAAGGAATCTGATCTGATTTCGAAAGTGTTGTATCTTGGATTAGAAAAGAACTGTAAGGAAAGACAGATATCGGCTAGCAGTGGCATCTAGGACACGCGCTTCATTTTATTTGAGACCCGTCTGTTGGATGCATCTCCAAGAATCGAATCTATTACCTCATGCTTCAAACGCCAATGCGTTATCCACTGAACAACTGACTCCAGATAGCCACCGGCTGACGCAACAGGAGATGAGACGCGTGTCCTAGATTCCACTGCTAGCCACTATTCATCGACTTAAAATACTTGTGACTTAAAGACAATATCAAGTCGATTCGCTCAGGGTACATACATGCCAAGAAGGACTGATCAAAATTTAGTCCTTAATATCAATAAAGGGGAGATTCAAGAAATTACAAATCAAATAAGAAAAGAATTTGTTAAAATATAATAGATTGTTAACAGAGCGATTATTATAAGTAATAAACCATTAATCTATCTTTTGATCTCTCCTTATTACCTGTATTTGAAAGAGCTGTATTCTATTTCTTTACAAAATGTATAAAAGCAATCACGAAGAAATCAGTGAACCAATATATTAAATATCTTGTTGGACAATTACAGGAAACCAATATTTAAAATGTTGAACTTAAAGTTGACGCCTAAATCATCGCTTTAGCATAAAAAAAAGAATGTTTGTACGGAAAAAAATTATTTGACAGTAAAGATTATCGTTTATCTTTGAGAAGTAATTACTGTCTCATTCATGCGACTTATCTGATTTTGTAGATAGAGTAAGTAGTTATGGCTGAAAGAGATGAACGTCAATGTTTTAGTGCTTTGTTTGAATAATACACTATGCAGAAGTTTCTTAATCTATCGAACTTAAGGTTCCCAAGTATGTACACTTTATGTTGATATACTATTGTAACATCAAGTTCAAACATAAAAAAGCATATTTAAGACAGTAAAATCAAGTGAAATTTAATCTATATGTTAACCGTCAAGCACTAAATATAAAGTGTCTATCAGTGAATAATCTAGAAATACTTACACTTTACAAAGTCAATATGTATATTCAGATTAAATTATATTGGATTACATACCTTGGAGTTTTGACTATAGGTGTAGTTGTAAAAACTTCTGATCCATCTGGATTAATTTCCTTTTTAGGCATCCATTGATCGCTTCCTTCATTTGGTATGATTATTTCCGATGGAATTATTGGATATCGTTTTTTACGTCTTTCTAAGATAACTGGATCTTGAAGAGGAAGAAAAAAAAAGGAAACGAAGTTAAAAACCATTAAAATTCAATTCATTAAAATAAAATGTTCATACTTGTTTTTATATTGGATCTGGATATTATTCTTGATAATTGATCTGTTTGATGTTTACCAAAAACACCATTACCTTGTTCTAATATTAATTCCTCACTTTTATATTCATTCCCATATTGATTATTATCAATTTTATCAAAATGATTCAAATTACAATTTGATTGATTTGATGCTTTCCATATTTCTAATTCTTGTAATATATCTGATATTTTAATTAATCCATCATTATCTGTATCAAGTTCATTGAATAATGTTAATGATAATTCACTAGATATATTAATTGTTGAATTAGAACATAATTTTATCCATTCTATTTTGTTTAAATCACCGGAATTTTCAAAATCATAACTTTGTAAAAATTTCTTTAAATTATCAATTGACATATTATGAATTTATTCTTTCTGATAGATAATATTATATATTCTTTCTTTAATCATAATATTATATATCTAAAGTATAGTTTACTCCATAGATATAATAAAAATCCAAAAATCTCATTTAGAAATTATAAGAAATTCTTCAATTGAACTGAATTGATAAAATTGTATAACAACTCAATTCTTTACAAAATAAATTCATTTATCTATTTTATTTTTTACCAGTCTTATTGTCTTTTTTTACATACTTTTATTAATCACATTATTATGTGTGCATTTTATGTAATAAAAACAATCATAATTCTGCACAAAGTGAAGGTCATCTACTCAATTCACCATACAAACAACTTCTAACTCTAATTTGATTGGTTAATTACTTATATAAGTATTATATTATATTAGTAGACTTAATTTGATAGTATATTAACTTTGACAAACAACAAAATAGCAAAAGCCAAAAATCACTTTTGTTAAATACAAATTGAAGTTAAGTGGTGAATGAAATTTATGCAATTAGTGAAACAACTTATTTTAAGAATGGGGTTAAGATCATGAGTCTGTTGAAGCTAGACCACCATGGAAAACCTGGAAGCACTGGACGACTGTTTCGTCCTAGTATGGGACTCCTCAACAGTGCTCATCCACGACATCGCCCGCTGCGGGATTCGGACCCAGGACCTACTGGTTTCGCGCGCGAGCACTTAGTATTAATCTCTTATAAATTGTGACTTTTATATCATAAACACCAGTGGCAATGATTACTAAAGTACTGGAAAAAAAAGAAAATTTCAACCATAATATAAATCAGTAACAAACATTTTGAAACTAGAAATAAGAGTAAAAGACAAAACACGTTATATAATAACAAAAGAAAAGACATTTCACCAATAAAATCAAACGAAGATATTACAATATAGTAAAAAACATGTCGTTAAATTTAATTTTCCATTTTTAACCAAAATTCAAACTAGCATGTTTTCTTAAAAAGATTCAAATGAAGCAGTGATATTATTATCGTCATCATCATCCTCCTCAAAAACTAAGTATTTCCGTTCCTAACGAAGATTATTTGTTTATGAATGAATAATAGAAACGCCTAAGAAATAACTTGACACAATAAGTATGATATATGTTGAAGAGAGGATATATTGGAAAAAAATGTTCGTCTACTGTAATCACCCACTGACGAGTCTAGGAACTAAAATGTAACATTAGTAATCACCTTAAAAATCGTTTTCATATACCTGACAGTCATTACTTTCCCTTATCTTCATTGTCCATTTAACTGACATAGAGAACAGTTTAACTACGGTAATTGACAGCTGTTCGACCTTACAACCAGAGAGATTAACAATCCTCTATCGATATTTTAGGAGACTATAGTAGCCGGTCATTGGCCATAATTAAAATAGTATCTAATCTCATTATAATGAATTATTTGGTACTGTGAAGAATAGATAACATGTCTCATTGTACTCCTAATTTATTTATCATCTGTTAGAAAATGCTTTCTTTATGCGTATACTACTATATTACAAACAAGAACATTCTAGTTATAGGTAATAATAACTGTTATGAAAAGGCGAGATTTATATCTTATCTTCATCAAAGTTAGCCAGATGAAAAGTGTATCTCAAAATCAATTGATCGCTCCATAGAAAAGTAAAAATTTGAACCCAAAAACGTTGGCTCTAAATTTGCATGATGATCACTGTGGAGTGTAATTGCAGTGGTGATGTCTAATCATTCGTACAGAAGTCTATTTACTCGTAGATGTTCATCAATTCAGCCGGTTAGAGTAAGTTTATGCATCAAAAGGCATGTCCCAACTTGGAATCCTCAAAGCAGAAAGAAGAAAGGTAAACCTAAGAACATGTGGCGCCAGAAACTGGAGGTAAATCATCTAGTGAATGCATAGTACCTAGCAACAACTCGAAGGGAAAACCCAGTATAGAGCCAGTTGAGGATTCCTGGTCGATGTCCTATGCCCCATGACGGGTAACAGGCTAACTTAAGTAAGGTTCAGTTCTAATGGTAACTAAGATAGCCACTTCGCAGAAAGTGGTCCATTCACTTTTAAGTCAAGCTGATCCAAACTATCGTCAATAAAGAAGTTAAACATTGGACAGTATGATATTTAGTGAAATTATTGGTCATTCGGTGTACTCTTCACCCATCTCTCATAACAATTTTTCTTAATGGTTGAATATAACACTGGGTTTATATTTGAAAATAAATAGGTCTGCATTCGCACATCAATCTTAAGTACCACATTTTCATATATTTTGTTTATTGAATTATACTTTTTGTATTTTCCGGAAACTATAGTGAGTACTAATAAGTAATCTATCAACATTCTTGTTTCAGTAAAAATGCACACTTAGTGAATGCATTGCAAAACTCAAATATCTGTCTTAATTCCCATGATATATGTTGGAGTATGTATTCATCACAAGATGTAGTTAACCTCTAAGTGGGATGGTTAGTGGCCTTCAACAGTAAACACTTAGTTACCACAACGTAAAAGGCACGAGGTTTTAAGTGATTTTTCAGAATACCTTATTTATCAGTCCAACCAACCACCAAACAACATTCAAAATATTAACGTAGTTTCGTGTGTATAAATAGTATACAACTAACTTGACCATAACTGACCACTTTAAAAAACCTACTTTAATTTTAATGTTTTAAGAAATAAAAATTAGCATGAAATCATGTGGCCGATGTTTTATAGTATATATGAGGAAAACCAGTGAATGTTGACTGTATTTTCTATAATTTTCTTTAAAAATGTATGAAGCGATGAGGTTATCAAACATGTCTTATTTATTAATGACAAGACATCTATGTTGTTTTTGACCTCTAATGAGCCTCTCCAAGTGACATCAACATCTTAGATACTTATTTCCTTCATTCTGCTTACAAAAATTCTAGCGTTTCACTTGATATTGGTAAAATTGACCATGGTACGATGTAGCTTTCTTATTATACTCACTGATTGTATTAGAAATATTCCTAAATTTAAGCTGTTTTTTCTAATCGATTATTATTTCGCCCCAGATTCCCTAGTACGGCCGAGAGTGGCAACCTAGTATGACGCCTATTCTAGAACCAAAATAATTAAGATTACTGACAAGATTATTCATACACCTTACTGGCTAATGACGATAGATAAAAAATCAAAACCCTGAAAGTACCCAAACAATTAAACAAGTTGGTGGCCATCTGGAGTTATCAACGAAGTAAATAATGCATTGGGGTTGAAAGCGAAATGTGTTAGATTCAAGTTCCCGTATGAACATTAACAAGAGGATGTACGTACTTTCGATTTACAAGTACTAAATAGGACGAAGTGAGCGTCAGGGACTCCACTGCTAGTAACAATCCATCTATCCAGTGAAACATTGTTTATTTAAGTACTTGTATCACCAAATAAACGTGTAGTTCTTATTGTTTACAGAACGTTGTTCAAGTAATCTCCGGGAAAAAATCCCTTGAGATATGTTAGCACTTCCACCCACATTGTTACCAAGAGCTTGTTTTATTGAATAGGTCAAGGAGAACTAACATAGTATTTCTCTTCACAAGTAGACTACTAGCCGGTAGCTAATGTTCTATATAACATTGACTTTTAGTGGAGCGAAAACGTCACTTCCTACCTTGACTAAGGTACTTTCGAATGATCATAACTCATAGCATTTCCAGTTTCTAACACAAAAATTCTAAATAAACATTCCACCAGATGAATTTATGATTGACTCTTGATCTCATACATCATAACTCTTAAAAAGCTCCTATGTTATTGATTAATTACCACGAAGTTTCTTTCTTACTTGTATCTAACACCAGTTACTGTATCTTTCTTAATCTGAGAAGGTATACATAGACTATCCTTCGATTAGGCATTTTTAATGATAGACTTTGATACCGTATTTTTAATCAAAATTATGTGTCAAGTGTTTACTGACATACATCGTCAATATGTATTAAGTTACCATCGGAAAGGTGGAACATTTGAGCATCATACATTTTTAAACACAATCCGTCTCGAGATACGAAAAGAATAGGAATTGAGTTCGGTTTACCACTTCGTAACAGTTATCTTTTGAGATAGCTTACTGACTGGTCGTCGTCATAAAACACTACCTGTTCATTTGGTTTTTCAATCGATAATTACCAATACAATTACATAAATAATCCGTATAAAAATATTGGTGTTAAAATACTTTTTTTTAAAGTGATCATTTAGTCAAGAGCAAGTTATAAAGTGATTAACTGAGTTCCGTTATTTTTAATTAAGAGAGAAGCACAACTACTTTTTAATTAAGTGGAATGAATGAGTTGAAAATATTATCAAAATCTAACAGTGACGAAGTAAACAGTAATCACTTATCTTAATAACCAAAGGTGCCCCACCGAACTAACGTGGGAATGAACGGAATAAGCAACCATTACCAAAAGATGCTCATTACAAAGGGTTCAAAGAGATGGGTAACTACATAACAGAATAATACAACAACCAGTAGTTTGATGGAGATTAATGTCACATTCTGATTATCAGTCGTGATGGAGACCTAAGTGTTGACATCAAAATAAACTCTGGACCGTTGGTTTCAATGCTTTCAATGAATTGCTCAGGATTATTTTCAGAGAAACTTCAGTGTGACAAACACACACAATTTTGGTCATCACTTTTAACCATGGCATGATGTTATTACCCATGTAAGATCTGGGCGTACGTCAAGTCAGCTGCAACATGAACGAATAGACTTTGATGGCTAATAACAGAGGTTTCGATTACATAAGTAAAACTGTCCCACAAGTTACATACTTGCAGAGGAAATATAGAATCTTGGTGTCCAAAGACCTATATTGATTTACAAACATTTAGTTTTAACGAAATAATAATAAGTACTCAATAAACCAACCACGACTAATGCGATTTAGAGTTTAAATGAAACAGTGAAAACAATAACTCCAAACGTTAGGAATGCTATTTGTCGCAGATAGAAAATACTAACAAATATTTGTATTCAGACAAATGTAACAGAGATTACCCGATGAGTGTGTTTAACAAGCGATTGGTCTATAAGTTGACAAAACACCATAAAAGACAGGTTATATAAGAATAAGAGTTTTAAAAGATTAGTAACAGATAGTAATGTACAAAGTAATATTTTCTCATCAGTAATATCACAATAGATGTTGCTGAACAGAAGTATACAATATTAGAAAAATTGCAAAATCAGATGAAGATCATAATCTCGAAAAATTACGTAACTGATATTACAAGCCATGAAAGAAATACATAAAATAAAACTATTGGATATACAGATAGAGCAACACGATTTTTTGGCAATGCAGGATGGACAAAAATAAAGGATGCATAAGATGAATAAACCAACCCACAAATAACAGTGAATAATCGTATGATAAAAACAAACACAGAATTAGAACTTGCAAGCAACAGTAATCGACATATAACCAAACCAATAACAAGAGGCAAAATACAATACCCCAAAACGCATACGGTTTGTAGGAATGACCTTTTAAAAGAAAACAATAGAATAATTTTAACAAAGATATTTGTTTTTAAATATGAAGTTCATGTACTAGTCAGAAAATGAATTACATCAGACTTTGAATATATTTTTTAGTCATCATACATCGACAGTAAAGTTAAAGCTACGTTTTTAATACAAAAGTTTAGGTTATATAGAATCCGTATTATCCCTAGAAAATATCCTTTAACAAGGTTTTTGCATTCACTTGGGAAAAAATGATATTTTTGATAAATTACAACCTTCTAAGGGAGGAACAATAATGAAGCACTTTAAAAACGTTCTGATTATTGGTATTCAACACCGAGATAATTAATGATGGTTCAATTAAACAATAGATTAGTTTAACAGTTAATCTTATTTGTTTATTGGTCAGTCACCATCCACACAACTTCCAAAAGTAAACTATATAAAAAGAAGTACTGATTAATCCAGTCTGCCGCTTAAGTGAGTAGTTTTCGATTAAAGGAGAAAAGAAAGAACTTCTTTACTCAATAAAAACCGAGGTAAAAGTCAACAATGACATAGTAGTTACGGAGCTTGACTTCCAGCTGTTAGACTATGGGTTTTTACTTTCACCATCTGTTTCATTTTGAGAAATGTGATAGTATCACTGATTACCAAAAATACGACTCAAAGTGAAATCATACTCGGTTACTGAGTTGCACTAGTTAAAAGTATGCACGACTTTGTATTGAGTCAATCCCCCTAATAACCTGGTACGACCGAGGGTGGGGGAAGACAGCTCTCCTTCTCGAAATGCTTTCACATGGTCACGCGTAGACAGCCACTGCCAAGGAAGTCCTACTCACTCGAGAAGGGAGTGTTGTTTACGAAATTGAGAGGACATGAAGTGAATATCCGACGCTTCTACCGGGTTGATGGGTATGGAGGGTTCACCTAGGAAAGTTGGAAAACCCTGACTCCAAACCAATGGTGCACAAGGGCTCCAGTATACGAAAGGGAAAAAAGGTGGATGGACCTATTGTTGGTCACCATCTGCCACGGGACTGAATCTCCTCATGTTGCTCCACTGCCTTTTGGATTAAACCTGTAAGTCGAAGGCTCAAGATGTGACCCCCTAAGAAAACCACTTGCTTCGGTTCGATCACTCGGGTATGGCGCATATGTATTTGGTGCCTTGTAGTACTAATGTTTGTGTTTAAATAAATAAACAAATAAAATAAGATAATTCGTATAGAACTATTCTACTATAATTTACTATTGAAGTTTCCAAACTGAACTCCTATGTTTCTTGGTAAACAATACAAAAACAACTAAAAAATCTAAAGTCAATCAACCTAATCAAAAATGACCACTTACACTGCACCACCGAGTAATTTAGAATTCAAAGTCACAACTGCTGAACCCAGCCAGAAAATAATGAAGACCTGGGCAAACTCCGGTCCGCCATGTCCGGAACTTTCTGAGTTTGAGCTACTATGCAAGAGCCTAAAAACAATAAAAAGAAATAAACGGCGTTCCAAACGAAAGTATTGTGATTGGTTTTGCACTCAAGATTTTAACAAAATATGATCCATTAGATACTATGACTTCAATATGTATCAGTTAGAGGAAAAAACATGGCGTTGAATGAACTAATAGATTTTTGACAAAAGTGAATAGAAAAGCTTAGCTTCCAAAACTAATAGAAAAGGATAAGAAGTAGGGAGGGGTAAAGTTGTGTTTGCCAAATAGTGATGTGATGAAAAATTGAGAATACCATAAAAACCTACTTTTTCTGTCATACTATTGAATACTGTTGAATAATGGTTACACCCACACCTACGTTTATTGACCAACAGGTCAAGTCCCATGACTATCGTCTAGTCTCTTTGATAATCTTTCAGTTAAGTGAGATTCATCACCAAAGAACAGATCACTTTACTCAAGTAAAAACGTACGTATGGTTTCGGCAGCGATGATCTAGTGATGCTAGAAGAAATCAATGTTACAGATAACTGTATCAAACCACAAGCGTTTGATACGACTGACTGACATAAAACCAACTGTTAACATTACTTGTGAAAGTATTAGTCGACAAACCTCTTGGATCTCACAAGTCCTTAGCAGGCCACAACCGACAGCTCGCTTTTCTCAAAAACATCTTTTTATATAGAGAATGGAATAGTGATAAAGCTTAACGGACGTCAATACTTATGTGAAACCCAGATCCACAGGTTTCAATGCCGGGGTTGGATCACTGGAAAATAAAGAGCAACAAGCCTAAAGGATATCCTATTCAATTAATCCGAAAGATCATACCTTACAGAACTGTCAGACGTGTGAATCGTACATAGACAAAAAGACAGGTGTCCCACCTTTTTGCTTTCTCCCATTTTGTTTACCGCTATACATAAATTTTCCGCCAGTGTAATATACATACAGAGACCAGCCACGGTCTCTGAAAGTCAAGCGTCAGATTGCAGGCAGAAAAACTCCGGGTTTAAATAATGTGGAAACCGATGATACATTTCGACAACACAAACTTAGATTCTAACAAATGGTCCATCATGTAAAAAATGACAATCATTGAATGCTGGAGTTATGACTCGACAAAGACTTTTTGTAGTTTAAATCAGGAACAGATCATGGCTAGACCAGCAATGAAAAACTCGAAGCACTGGATAGCTGTTTTGTTCCAGTGTAGGGACCATCAGCAGTGCGTGTCTACCACCCAGCCACAGGGCAGGAAGACTTTCAATGTATACTTAGAGGTTCTAACCTAATACACGTTGAATCACGAAGAGCTAACAACAGATGGTCAAACTCATGACATGTTAAGTTTGTGTGGCAGTTATGAATCGCTCTTAACAAGATATGGCGTTATTTTACAAGGTCATCCCAGTCTTAATGTCATGTTGACTGAAGAAAATGACTACAAAATTAGAGTTCCCTATCCTTAATCATTTAGTACCAAGACACGTGAACTCGCAGAGCTTACAGCATGTAATTTATATCAGCCTTGTGAAATAATTATTCTAAAAACTTATGACACGTTGAGGAAGTCGACTTTAACATAAGCAGTGTGCAAATATATGTTCACAGATTTCAGTAAAAATTATAGATATTAACTTTATGTAATATATAATTCAGTCTTTGAAATTAAGTCGATAAAACAAACTGTTACTGATGTGTTTATATAACTAGTTTGTATTTATAGATGGGTCTCAAGTGCAACCTTTGGTTCGGGTCGATTACATTGAGTTCAATAAACTCCGTCTTCAAAGATATTTAAATCATATTACTTCGAACGTTAGCAAAAAGTCGTAAATGGGTCTATATGTAAACTTACGCTGACATGATAAGACACAACACTAACGGACCCCACAAATCCCCTGAAATAAAGAATTAATATCAGAAAATTATCTACATTCTTTCAACAACCCCTGTCCTTGTCGTGGAACTAAGACGTAAGAAAACTTTTGACCAACAGCGCGAGCTGATCTAAACTGTTCAGAACATTATAAATACAACTATTTTTTACAATTGTATCACGAATTGGTTCGTCAAGTAACGTCAAATTGTCTCCAGTACATTGTCCATTATCAGAGATATGACCTTCTAAGAGGACAGATCCCATATGCTAAACATTAAAGCAACTCAAATAAGACCTACGTGTCCTGAAGACTGAAACTCTAGCATGGGGCCAAAAATCCCAATACTACGTTTACTTGACCTACAAGTCAACTTGACCTTGAAGTCCAACAACGTTCAATAACTGCAAAGGTGTATGAATTCAATTGCTTATAAGGCACCTATGATCTGATGTATGAACATGGTTCCGAGAGTTTGCTGCTTTCTTTCAGTGCTTGCTTGAATTTAATTAGGCCACTTAGTTACCATAATCTTGGTATATTTAAGGGTCAACAGTAAATGTTTAATCTCACCTAAATATGTACGAAAATACCTACAAGTATGTATTCCAGATGAAAATAAATGCTCATCTGCCATAAATTCAAAAGCACTCTCATAAATCTCTTTTTTATGCTTTTCATGTTTATGTTCGTTTTACATAGGAACATAACTACTCTTTTTTGTCTACGATTTCTGTTTTTAACTATATAGGGTCAGTTGTAATGTTAATCCCATATAGCTTATTCTATCTTATGGACAAGCCAGTTTATCCATTCGTCTCGAGCTACACTTTAACTTTATTAGTTACTCGCTTATCAACTTTGATTGTTTTTATGTGAATGTATGTGTGTTCATTTCCTAACTTACTCATCAAATGCCTGTAAATTACTTTTGTTCGACTGCATTCTAGTGCACCAGATCACGTCGGGCTCACCAATGAAGATGCCACAGGTATTTGAAGTTTGATAGCGATTTAACCACTAGCACCTATTATGAATAGTACTCACCAAGTGAAGTCAAAAGACAGAAGCGAGGCAGTTCGAAGATATATTTGATAAGCTATCAATATACCGAGGATAGTCTGATCTAATCTGGTGAGCGATTACAGTGGTAGTTGAGCGCGGCGTTACCACTCGTGGTCTTGTGCGGATGCGTGATTGAGCGCCTTCAGCTAGGTGAGTCCATTAAAGCTAATGTTGTCAGCATCCAATGTCAAAGACTTGCAGAAATATTTATTTTGAGGATATATTTGCAGCGAGGACACAAATACAAGGGAACGCGTGTCAGGATATCCATAAAATCCATCGGAAGCCAAATATCAGAAGGCAGTTAATGAATCAAGTCGAGATATATTTGCTGGCGATCTCGTGGTATCGAAAGAATACCGAGATCGTGCCAGGATACAGGCTTGATTACTGAGCGTAACCGTATTCGCGCGCGGTCACAATCGAAGTAACTATAATGGATGCTTTTAGCACAGTTAAACAAAGAGCACATTCAGACAGTTACTGGTACAATTGGTTATAATAATGATTGTTTTCATTAAACTAATCGTGTTCTCGTCATAAAAGTAAATCATTACTTATTTACGGCTGCACTATCTTACTCATCACATGTCGCAAATTATTTTTATCCGACCGTAAATATCGATTAATTTCCGATTACATTGAAATGGCTAGCGTGCCTTCTCCATTGAGCGTCAATTAGTTTTCCTTCGCTCTCTTCTCTACGTCTTTCTGAATGTCTGATCCGACCAACGCTTGTGCAAAATATACCTACTCAAAATCCAAACTCATATTTGTTTTATTTAACTCCGTCATTCACTAACGCGGTTTTAGTCGATGATTTATGCGAGTATGGACGATTTGTATACTTCAATAACAATCATTGATACGTGTTATAACTGAACGGCAGCAGATTTGAGGGTAGTGAATTATCGATCGAACACAAAGACGCGCAAACACATAGAACGACCTAGGGTTCTGATTGGCCCCGCTTCCCTGTCTAGCCCAGCAGTTGAGTTCAGAACGCAAGTCACAGCCTCGGATGTATGAATCATTATATTTCAAACATACTTTGTTTATATACCAGTCAATCAGACCACAACGCACCATAAAATAGAAAATAACATTGTACAATATTGACCAGTAGGAAAATAACACGTGAAATAAGTACTGATCAATAAGAAAATCATACCATGTCCAAGTCCAAGACTTAATAGGATAATTTCTGGGATATTTTCCTGAATATCCCAACAATACGATTAATCCGTAGTCAGATACAGGGCCACTAACTAATTATTTGCGGTTCAGCAACATTTGGCTGTCCAACTTAGTTTTTGTTTTGCTAACCTATACACACTTTGGCGGCTGTACTACTAATTCATTATGAATAACCGTTGCGTTATGTTAGCCGGATTGTTTGGTCACTCACGTACAGAATGATGTTCCTTGCTAGGTAGGAATATGCTTGCTGTCAAAAAAGTAACTAGTACGGTGTGCTTAAATAATCTCTTTACATGACGTTTTTGTACTTTTTTACCCCAAGTTTAACTTGGAAGAGAAACAGTCCAGTTGTCGACAGTAGGTGAATCTAACAGTGTAATTAGTATGTCACTCGGGGCAAACCTAGTCGCAGCAGTGAGGGTATGCTGTTGGATACAATAGTACAGCAAGTTGTGAAAAAACATGAAGTTTTAGGAATTCACTTCAGTAGGTGGATGACTTTTCCTTTGAGGAACATGACTCGAGAAGTGATGTCACGAATCAAAGTCAGTTACAATGTATTCGTTGTTCCCGTAAGAGTTCATTCCATAACCTGCCTATAGTTATCATAAACGTGCCGTCATCAGAGAAGACGCACTTCATATATTTAGGTGTAGCCAAAAAACTTATTTCTTAATGTAATGATCTAGTCAGCCTACCACCAAACTGAGTGGACCCATGTTTTTTTCTCACCAACAAATATATCCTTAAGATGTTGTAGACAACATTTACCTTGTGGCTTCCGAAGGAAATGTCGTTCACTCTATGAAGTTTCTGTCAAGAAGACGACGAAACGTAGGTCGTTCTGTTTATTTTTAAGTCATGTAGTTTGCGCGATAGTTTAACATTCAAACTCTACGAAATTTTTCCCATCTATCCTTACCTATTTGCTTAACTTCTCATTCTAAGTTCCGCATTGTGTTCTCGAACAAGGTGCGCATTATTCTTAGTAAATTTTCATTAAGATACGTAATTTATTTAAAGCAGATATTTGATAAATCACTCAACAAGGATGCTAAGATTCATCCTTTGATTTTCCTTTTGAGTCATATATGAGAAAAATAAAACGTTCATGACAATGCGGATCAGCGTCGACTGTACAGCGAAATGTGGTAGTTTACTTTCAAAGTCTACTGAATCAGAAAATACAACTAAATGTGACTGAGTAGACAGTGAGTTATGTTTTCCCAAAAAATCGTTTATTACAACAATTCGATATTCGTTAATGGAAAGCCTGGGTTCATCACAAATATTGTAGATAGTGGTAGAATTCAGTTTCAGCCTTGTACTGTCCTTTCATATCTATTTAGTGACACGATTTCTAGCATTACGATAAGTATACGTAAGTGCTCCTTAGTTAGTGGCCAGTGTACGTGGATTACTATGACATATACTTTGCATCCTAATCCCGACACAAAATTCTGAATTTTTCTTTCATTTTATACACATCACTTCTAAAGACCCATACCATGCATAATATTTTGGTTCGGTTAGCCAGATGACACACAGTTTAGGAATGAAAAGGACAGATAGACGACTGAAAAATATGAAATAAAAAATTTAGGACCGTGTAATCTATGAGTAAGGAGATAAGAAGATATAAAAGTTAACATAGAAATGCTACTTAATTCAAGATATCTTACTTTTTGAAATGGCTGGAGATAAACAAGAAGAGACTCATAGTAACTCGGAATTATGTAAGTTCCTCATAATTGTCCATATTTGATCAGCATCCACAGGTTTAGAGAGCCATCTGTTCACTTAAATTCTGAAATAAAAAGGAATATGAAATGTCATCAAAAAAAGATGCAACATTATAGTAAGGACACTCTGAATATGAATGTGTGATTTAGGAACATCGTTTGTTAGGGAGAAAGGATCATGTGGTTTGTCATTTTATAATACAAACGTGATAGAATAGTGGTTTCTTATCTTAAGTCTAGATGGTTGGTTGTCCAGAGAAAGTGTATCGAAGTTGTGTGGGAGATGTGCTTATGGTTCATAAGGCTATTTCAAATTCAAAAGCTGTGTGATTAGTTTTTAACTTGGTTTTGATGTCTCAGTCATGAACAGGTAATGACAGCCTGTTACACAATAAGCTAGAACATACTTTAAAAAAACAAATCGCTTGTTTATGGTGTTTTGCAGTTTCTAGTGTAAATGAGTTATTTCTATATCTGTAAAAAGGATGGTGACTCAAGAGATGTTAGAATCGTGACTTTCTTACGCTCGTTATCTCACGCAGAGGAGCTAACGTCGACCACCATCATTCTCCATCCAACTCTGTCCCGGGCAATCCCTTCATTTGCTTCTAGTTGCTCCTCATTCTTTTCATGTCTGCTTCCAATTCCCGCTGCAGTGTTCTTTGCCCTTCCTCTTTCCCGTTTCCTTTCAGGATTCCAAGCAAGCGCTTTCCTCGTCGTGCAGTTGGGTGATTTCTGTAATGCATATCCCATCCACTTCCAGAGTATCTCCCCAATTTCCTCTTCAGTTGGAAGCTGGTTTATTCTTTCCCATAGTAGGCTGTTGCTGGTGGTATCCGGTCAAACGACATTCAGTATCTTGAGTAGACAATTGTTTATAAATACTTGTATCTTTTTGATGATGGTTGTAGTAGTAGTCCAAGTTTTATCTCTGTATAGTGGAAATGTCTCGACGTTCGTATTGAAGATTCTGAATTTTATATTGCTTTACAAGTGTTCTGAGTTTCATGTGTTGAAAAAGGGTGCGACCACATTTAGTAAAATGTATTTATTTGTTCTCTGGCTGATGACGCCATAAAATTTCCTGGGAGATATGTTTACATCTACATAATCCCAAATCCACAATGAGGTTGAAGAACTGAGCTTCAGTTCAGTTTTCACCTCCAGTATACGTATGTTCCGCGAAATTTATTCTAGAAAGGTTGAAGTCCCCTAGAATCAGGATATGAGTGGATCCGAGAAGCGTAGAGCGTGATAGTCCTTCCAGCATACGACTGTCATACTCAATATTGGCAGTGAGCTTCCTAAAGATGACCCAGAATAGGCACCTCGAAGTAGTAGACAATCTTACAGTGCATCATACAGCTTCATCAAGATTGTTAAACCAAT